TTCCAAAACGCAGACTCCCTCAGGCCGGCTCTCTTCAGGACCTCGCTCAACAACATGTATAAATGTGTCGTTGAAACATTTGTCATTTGAACTTGAGGCAAGTGGAGACATGTGCATCCAAAGTACAAATGCTGCCCAAATACACGTGTTTGTTCTGGTTGATCCGCGTTGAGTTTTGAGAAGTCTGTTTCAATAAGATTCACTCCATTCATCTAGAAAGCTGATGTTTGAACTCATAATTACTAATTTGCCATTGAGATCAAATTTATCCAAACCGACTTACTGTATAAATCACAGAGTTCACTCTGTTGTTCACTCTGTTCTCTTATTGTATCGTAAACGAAGAACAGGTTAGGTAACAAGCACAACGAATCCAATGTTGTGTTCCCATCCAGATATACAGGAGTCCATTTGTCAGAGGATGTGCAGTTGTTTCCAGAATTACATGGACAGACGATACTCCCCTATTCTATGGGCATACAGCACATTCTTTGACTAAGTAACTGTTGCGTGGGGAAAGTCATGCTCAGCTCTGTGGATTCAGAGAAAGCAGGTGTACGGCAATGGTGAATTACTCCTCTATTTGACACCGCTCAAATATTTCATCTTAGTAAGTTCCTGCCAAGCTTTCTGGTCTGACTTTGAGGCTTAAACTTTGTGATCTATGTGTTGTCTTGTTTAGCCAGACTTATTCATGTGAATCTGATCCTAATTGCACCTTATTCTGCCCGATCACCCAGTGTCATTTACAGTTGCTCGACTGTTGGGTGAAATCCATTCATTTCAATAGGAATCCGCGTGATCGGGAGATCTGAGTGAGTGTGAAGGATTTCCCCACACAGATTCTGCTTGTGTTCAAGGTGGTCATGTTAATTTGTTGTGTTGACCATCTTTGCTGGTAAGTTGGCTTCGAACGGCACATTGTCCAGCACTTTGTGGCGTGATTCCTGTGACACAACATGGTTTGATGCTTCTTGTCTGAAGAGTTAACGCACAATTTTGATTTTGGAGGAAGGATTTCAATTAGTATGCATTTGTTCTGCATAGATTAAGGTATATGTGGTGTGATATTTATTGGAGAATTGAGTCCAGAAGACTTCCATAAGAACACCAAAGTCACGTCATGATTATCTGTCTTGACCTTCGGAATCTCTTCATTCTTAAGGCCCTTAAAGGGATGGGTCACCCAAAAATGTAAATTACCCTATGATTGACTCACCCTCAAGCCATCCAAATGTATATGACTTTCTTCTTTCAGATTAATACAATCTGAGTTATATAAAAAAAAAATATCCTGGCTCTTCCAAGCTTTATAATGGCAGTGAATGGTGGTCGAGATTTTGAAGCCCAAATAAGTGCATCCATCCATCATAAAAAGTGCTCCACACGACTACAGGGGGTTAATAAAGGCCTTCTGAAGCAAATTAATTGCTTACAATGGATTGTACAAACTGTTGTACACGCGTTCACGAGAGAGTGGCGTTCCAGCGGATGACGTAGGAGTAGCGTAAGCTCTGGTGAGAAGTTTTAAAAGTTTAAAATATGTACATTTTTCTTACACAAATGCGTCAGAAGGCCTTTATTAACCCCCTGGAGCTATTAAGCCCCTGGAGCTAGTGGAATACTTTTTTATGATGGATGGATTAACTTTTTTGGGCTTCAAAATCTCAACCACCATTCACTGCCATTATAAAGCTTGGAAGTAATATAACTCTGATTGTATTCGTCTGAAAGAAGAAAGTCATATAGACCAATTATCGGTTTGTAAACATTCAGGATGCGCGCGCATCATGGTTGCAGAAAACCCGGGAGAGATAGCCTTTACAGCTAGAGAATTTCACGGATACGGTACAGGTTTAAAAAGATTATAAATTATATTGATTAGATGTCATTTTCAAAATGTTCTACGCATAAAAAATTATTTGCATTCCGATCTTGAAATCAAAAGGCACAAACATATTTTTTTCTGGCCATAGTTTGATGATTCTGCATTTCCCGAATCCCTAGATCAAACGAACATTTCCAAACAGCAACACAAACGTATATAGTTAGAACTACCTGTGGTTAGAAGCAGAGTTAGTATGATATGTGGGCTCAAGGGAACCCCGTAGTACAGGGTTCCTCAATAGGCGGCCCGCGGGCCACATCCGGGCCGGTGAGAGAAAAAAGTTTGGCTCGTGCTAATTTAAAATAATGTGGCATGAAAATTCAAACGCAGCATCAGAAAGCTACATTAAATTACATCGTGTCTACATTGAAGGAGATGCACTGAATGAAAGCACATTCACTCTCTGACAGCAGATGGCACTAAACTGTAGAAATGCAGCCGTTACCCTGGGAACCCCATAAATCAGGGTTCCTCAATAGGCGGCCCGCGGGCCACATCCGGCCCATGAGAGAAAAAAGTTTGGCTCACGCTAATTTCAAATAATGTGGCATGAAAATTCAAACGCAGCATCAGAAAGCTACATTAACTTACATCGTGTCTACACCGGACACGAGCGGCGCAACGCAATAAAATATAGAACCCATTATAATCAGTCATGCTGTCAACACTGGATGCGGCGCGACATGACAAATCCCCGACATTAAACTGCTGACTTGTTCTATGACACAGCGTTCAAATGATTTGCAATGCTTTGTCGCGTCCAGTGTAGATACGATGTGACAGCAAAAACATGGAGAGTGTGTAGAAAAGAAAAGTGGACACCAGAAATAGATGATTCACATGTGAATGGACTGAACAGTTTTGAGTGAGTGACTGATATCTTTGTTATGGAATACACGTGTTGGTTCGCAGTGAGTTCACAGTTTTAACGTACAAGTTTGCTTTAATTTATTTTCAAGATCTGAGGTAAAATATCTATTGTTGCTTTCACTATGGCTATAAAGATAACGCAAAATAATATTCAAACTCACATTAGACACTGTTAACATTGAATGAAGCACATAATCAGTACCTGAGATTATCATTAGGCGCGTTTCCATTACAGTTTTGCGCAAAACTTTGGTGATATTTTATAAATGTCGATAAAAAGTATTGCGAAATGACGGCGTTTCCATTAACCGATGTTATGCGACTAAAACGTTATTTTTTCCTCTCGCGATAAGTCATGGCAACGGATTTTGGTGGGATTTTAACGGATTGTGGCTATATTTATTCAAAGGAGGCGTATGCGTGTATCTTTACAGAAGCAGCCAAGAGAGCCGCTTCAGAAACGTGCGTGGCGCGGCTGGAATAAACCATGCCCTTGGCTTGGTATTGTTGGCAGAGTTTGGCCCTCGGCGAAAACTAATTGAGGAACTCTGCCATAGTATGACGTATGAGGGAACCCGCAATGTATCAAACATAAAAAAAGCAAAGTAACAGCGAAAAAAAAAAAAAAAGGGAAG